CGGTGCTTGTGTTTGGGTAATGTTAATGCCAACTTTATTCATTCCTCTGCTCATATCATCATGATGTAAACTGACTTCTTCTGCTTCTGTCCAGTACAATTCCCGTTGAAGCATTCACAACCAAGACAACCCCAAAGTGAAGCACTTATGAAGACAAGAATCATCAGTGTCTCTATTTGAGGTGAGTGCTTGTGTTTTGGTAATGTTAATGCCAACTTCATGCATTTCACTGGTCATATCACCACAATGTAAACTGTCTTCTTCTGCAGTTGTCCAGTACAATGTCTGATGAAGCATTCACAAACAAGACAACCCCAAAGTGAAGCACTTATGAGCACACAAATCATCACTGTCTGTATTTGAGGTGATCTGAGAGTGAACATATAGCTTCTAATACATTCAGGTGATTTTGTCGAGTAAAACTGTCCCAACAAGTAGCACTTACTGATTTAACAGTCAAGTCAATGCTAAAGTTAGGTTAATTGTGACAACCCCAAAGTGAAGCACTTATGAACACACAAATCATCAGTGTCTCCATTTAGATGATCAGAATGTGATTCCAATGATACTTACCTTCAGTATGTAGTAGGGTTTGCTCGGCCACCTTAAAGGTCAGTCCACCTTTAAAGAGCCTGATTAGGTTTGAATGGGCTCCAGGTGTAGCTCATTTATGCTCCTCTATATATACACCAAGCAAAACCTCAGGCTGCAACACCCTGCTCCTCATTCTTGTGGTGAGTTATGCTGTGGTGTACATTCAAGCTGTGTCCTTTGTTTCTTTAATTGGTATGTTTTGATGTTCTGCACTTGTCTTGTGAAATGTATTGATGTTTCAATGCTAGGCCAGATTTTCTCTTGATATTCACAAAGCTTCCTAATGCTAAGAGTTGCTCCTCGTGATGAAATTCTAAGACTTGTGACATTTTCTTATAATTTCCCAGTAATTTTAAGACTAGGTCATTTCAAAGATAACAATTATTCACAAAGTTTCTTACCCCTTAAAACAGCTCCTAAGGTGAAAGACTGTTACGCTGGAATTCCACTGGATGCGTGTCCGTTGTGGAACGGTTGCGCTGGTTATCCACTGCGTGCTCCACCGGACAGCGGGAGTCACAAGGACCCATGAGATCTCACGAATTCACGCATAATCGCACAATATAACAAGATGTAGTTTCTATATACAGAACCACAAAACTAGAGGAGTAGTAGGAAGACATCTCGGTGCACCTCCATGATAAACATCTCATCATACATGGTGTCAACCAGGTGAAATGACGTCTGAAAACCTCTGACCTGTTGACTTCAGGCCTGCCTCCACCCATTATGACGTTTTCAAGGTGTAGTGCAGGGAAATATGATCCGCTGTGAGCACTGTGTATTTTATTTTGAAAATTAACCAGATGTTTTATTTTGTTTCTCTGCACGACTTCCTGTCCCGCACGATCTGCTCCGTGCTGTTTTGCTGTTGTGCTCCGGCGTCTGGCAAAAATAAGGCCTGTTTCCACCGCAGGAACTTCGGGGTAATTTTACGGGGCCGGGGCCGTTGGTGCGTGTCTCCACCGCAGGAACCACCCCCGAAGGACAGAGTTCCGGAACTTTTACAGGGGCTAAACAAGTCCCTGCCTCGGGGTAGGTACTCAGAACGGCCCCGAAAGACTCCTGGCTGGGGCTTGGGGATGACTTGGTGCTGATTGGATATACTCAAGGAGGGATGTGACGTCAACAGAAAGCAACAAAATAGCCGGCATTTTTAAAACTCAGCAGACGAGGGTTAGCTCGTTCATATAGCTTCCGCCGCCATGTAAAAAAAAACTCACTAAATGGCCCGTGAAAAAAATATTTTTTCCAGCGGATATCTTAGTTACAACATGATTGAGCTAGCAAAGCAGTTTTGTGTTGCTATGTGTGGTATTTATTCAGTTATGGGAAATGACGATGTCTAGAAAGCATCAGTAGTGACTGCAGCTGACAGGGACAGCCCACCACAGCATCTGTTAAAAGCCTCCCGTTGTCAGATACGACATGAAACTACTCCAGTTAGCTCAATCATGTTGTAACTAAGACATCCGCTAGAAAAAATATTTTTTTCATGGGCCATTTAGTGAGTTATTACAGACACTGCTATCGGCTAACAGCTAACAACATCCCTATGACGCCCCGGTCAAAATGGTCGTGCAACGATTACGTCACATCCAGAGCCCGTAACTTTACAGGAACCTTCCTCATACTCCGCTCTCTCAGTGGAGACACGGCGGTTGAGAGAGCCAAGCGAGAGGACGTTCCTGTAGTAGTTCCTGCCCCCCAGATAGTACCAGGAACTTCTTCAGTGGAAACGGGCCTATAGAAGTCCTGCATATCTGTTGTGGAGGGCTCCGGAGCGCCACAGCTGTGACAGAGCTGGAATGCAGCACAGCCGCAGCCGGCAGAAGCACACACATTGACTAGAATTGAAATGTATCAGCTCCGCTGCCGTTCTGAGAGTGCAACCCACACGCATCTGGTAGAATTTGGGGGTAAGGAGCAGGGAGGAGGACTTTTAAGAGGCTTAAGAGTTTCTTAAGCAGAGGAGAAAATGGTGGAAAGATGATGAAGTTGGAGAAATATTCTCCAAATGCTGGATGACAGTGAGTTAATGAATTAATGAAATGCCACAGATTAGATCATGCAGTGATAATATGTGTGGTTGATCTCATTAGGGATATGCACACATTTTCCAATTAATGCTATAATGCCAGAAATAAAACAATCATGAAACTAAGATAGAACTGGAAAAATGCAACAGTGCAGCAGTGATGACATAAGTCTGTCTCAACCTTCCATCAGCAGAGTGATCACACTAACAATGACAACACTTTCACAGTCAGCAGTTCATTTACTTTCCACTGGGTGTCCACACCCGGGTGTGGGAGCCCTTCTGTGCGGAGTTTGCATGTTCTCCCTGTGTCAGCGTGGGTTCTCTCCGGGCACTCCAGCTTCCTCCCACAGTCCAAAGACATGCAGATTGAGGACAGGTTAATTGATAACTCTAAATTGTCCGTAGGTGTGAATGTGAGCATGAATGGTTGTTTGTCTCTATGTGTCAGACCTGAGATAGTCTGGAAACCTGTCCAGGGTGAACCCTGCCTCTCGCCCAATGTCAGCTGGGATAGGCTCCAGCCCCCCTGCGACCCTCAAGAGGATGAAGCGGTTAGAAGAAAAAGATGGGTGTCCACACTTTGCAGGCTCGCAGAAGGGCATGTCTGTGACAACCAATCACATCTGTTAAAAGAATGCATCATACCTAGCGACGGGGTCAACCACACCTCCTCACTAAGGTAAAAGTTTCTGTCCCTTCCTTCTTCAGAGCAAGGCTATTCAAGAGAAGGCTGAGACACGGGGTCAAACATGGGGGGAATGCACATGCGCAGTGTAACTTGAGCTGCGATGCTGGAGGGTGACAGCAGGGGCGCTAGATAAAAATTGCAGGATCCGCTCAGGAGATCAAGGAGTGCGCTTGGTGCGGTCTGCTTGGACTTTTGGACAGCGGCTGCCTGAAGTTGTCAGAATTGCATCTCTGTCATTCTCACCTACAACGCAGGCCACCAGTGACAGTCCAATAATAAGCTGTGAAAATGACATGCATGCACATCCTCCTTATTCCACGGTCTCACGCCATCTACTGAGCCTTTGAGGAAATGCAGACCAGATTTTACTGCGCATGTGCAATCCCCCCATGTTTGACCCCGTGTCCCAGCCTTCTCTTGAATAGCCTTGGTTCAGAGTTGCTCTGAGAACTTTCATCACTCCTAAGATAGGACTCTTTACAGTATTTAGGCTAAGTTAGGAGTTCATTCTGAGAACAGAGAAGATATTTGTGAATACAGCCCCAGCACACTCCCTGGGTTTGTCTCTTAATGAGGTGAATGCCTGTTTCTGCCTTTAGTGAGATCTGATTTAAACCTTTTCATGACTGTTAAATTCAAACTCATGACACTGTCCTTTAATACACCACAAACTCTCCTTTAATTTACATAAAGGTTTTTTGGTTAATTGTGTTTTTCTGTTGTTTTCTTGCAGTGCTGGCTGCTGTGTTGTGTAAGTATAATCATATTTATCACTGAAGGAAATGTCTGCCTTGTAGCCATAATTGTTGCTTTTCCTCCCCGTGTGTAGCCCATACATGAAGCTATGAGAATGTTTGGACCTGTGATAAGTATATTGTTTTCTTAAATTTAGGGTCATATGACAATATGCCTTCCAAGGCCTACACTCTGCCTATTTTTTTTTCTTTTATCCTCTCCTTAATTATAACAGATCAATT